TCTTTAAGTTCCTTTTTGAGCCAGTGTTGGACACAGAAGGCTCATGTTTTACCTTACAGCTGTCACATGTTATTTGTAGAATCATTAGAGCAGAAAATGACAGTGCACAATGATATTACTGTATATCTTGGTTTGTGTGGACAGTAATGTAAAAGATTACATTGGGTCAGTGCAGCCATTGTGTTGGGTTTGATTGGTTTTGTCCTGGGTGAAGTTTGTCCAGTAATGTCAGCTTTGAGCAGTGATTGTTATTGATTGCAAATGCACACAGATTTATCAAGATGCTGTACATCTAACTTTATCTCTCTTTACTGTTTCTTGCAATGTTGGGATTCAAATTTAGGCTTATTGTTCTGCTACGCTCATTGTAATTTCACATGAGCAATCCTGATACTTCACATGCACGAGTGTGAAAATCCTCACAGTTGGTGAAAAACGGGTTAGCAGCCTGATAAAAATGTGAAAACATCTGTTGTCTTCATCTAACGTGGTGGAGACACTGGGTGTTGAGAGCAGCCGAGACACCCAGCTGACAGTTTCATGATGAGCTCAGGAGCATTAGATTGCTGTGCATGTGCAAACAGTAGAATGGAAGCCTTAGACGGTCGCTGCTGTCAGCTATTATACGGTGTAGTAGGGACAAACCGTGTTATGATGCTAACATCCATTAGAGCAATTAGCTTCAGCACACAGGGACCCGGCGTTTTCAGTCTGGGAGACCTTTAAGCCTAAAAAAATTCTTAATTTACACACCCTTCCGAAAACAACAACAAAACTGTATACCAGATGATATGTAAGCAGCAGGACAGAATTAAATGGAGCGTAAACTTAATTTCATGTTGCCACAATTCATTCAATTCATATGGGCTTATTAGTATTGTTCATTTTCCTGCATATTGAGGGTGAAGTGTTCATACCTGGTTATGTCTGGGGGGCGTTAAGTCTGACTAATGAAATGACTCTATCCTCTGTGGTGTTTTAATCTATTCACTGGGAAAGTAATTGACAAGCCCACAGTATGTGCATTAGGATAGCACTGGCACCAAAGGACAGCTGTCACTAAAAGCAATTAAAATGACAAAGGTTAATTAATTCTCTCCACATTTTACCTGATATGAGTAATTCACAATGAGTGAGTTTTCATTTCCAGAGGAGCGATGGTATTTTGAGGAGAGTAATTTATTTGTGCCTTTAAAAAAAAAAAAAAAAACCACACACAAGCCATTGTCTGATAGAGCCTTTAATATGTCAATACCTCACACAATACTGTGCCTCAGGACAGGTTCAGTCCCAGATTTGAAATTAATTCTGCATTCTGCAGCAGGACATGATCTGAAATGACAATTGCTTGTTGTTGAAAGTCACATATCTGTAATTTCTTCTGTAGTAGCTCCAACAAAATGTGATTTATAAATTAAGCATGTGAGAATGTTTCACAAATATTTCATTTGAACGAACGTCTGTAAATGGAAAGACGAAGTCCCACATTTTCACCGTGGTTGGGGGTCAAGAGGAAGAAAACCAAGATGCAAATAATTACTATGCCAACCACCTCTGACACCACGAGAGCAGAACCCAAGAACTTTCTAATCCACCTAAATGTCAAAGCATCGTTCGCAGCCCTCCCTCTGTGTGAATCTCCACAGGCTGCCAAAAGGCCAGTGGTTAGTCATCTGTTTACTCCTGCAGCTGCTGGGTGTCATTGGGACTCTGAAGGAGAAATCCCATGATTCTCTCTGCCATTTCTGACAGCTCCCGCCCAGACCACATTAATCAGGGATTGGGGGCGAGCTAGGGGATAGACGGCAGGCATGGATGGGTCCGGCCCAGGACAACTGAACCAAGGGAAAGATCTGGGCCCAAAGATAACTGAGACACTGCCAGGTTTTAATGCTGTCAGTTTCATTCATACACAGAGAGCTTGTTAAACAGACAGTTTCTCCAAGGAAATGGCAAGATTTTCTTATTGCTGGGTAAAACTGGTGTTTTGAAATTACCATAATTTAAAAAGGTTGGTTTTCAAAAGGATTTAACTGAACACCACCCCCCAGTTGTGCAAATTAGTCTCCATGAAAGAGATTTGCTCCTGGATTGATGATATTAAATATTTGCGGTGAATCAGAATCTAATTTCTCAAAAAGCTGTATTTCCTGCATTTTAATTACCTAACTCCACTTCTGTCTAATCATTTCATTGAGTTCTATTGAAGGCATAAGCAGTGATCTGAAAGTTAACAGAAGATTAGCCCCCAGTGCTGGAACCTGCTGTCACTGCCAAAAAAGACTGACAGCTCACTTAATATACGGGCTGACACTAGATTGAACAATTAAATCTAAATTATATATAAACATTGTTTTACATCAGTAGTGTTCTTAAATACAGGAGTACAACAATCAGATATTAGCAGTTACTGTCAAAAAGAAATGCAGATTTTTCACCTGTTATCGAACTCTTCCATTAATTGATTTGTTTGGCAACTTGGGGCAGGCGCCGCAATCTGTAAACATAACACCTCATAAAGCTGATGTGGCCAATGTGTTCATTTTGAAATGGAGAAACTTTAGTATTCATTTGATGCTGTGTTTCTGGCCACCTGGCAAATGTAAATCTAATATTAACTCTGTTCTGGTTTCTACCAGGGAATATCTGGCTCTTCAGCTGCTATGGTAAATGCAGGATGTTCGCCTGCTTGTTTTAAGTAATGCTGATGAGAGCTGTAGCCTAAGCAGTACAACTCGGGGCTGTTCAATATAAAGAAAGAAACTACATAGTCTGGGGTTGCATCGTGATCAGCTACCCTTTCACATTTCACATAGTCATTTGATCCATGTTAAAATATTGATATAGTGTTAAATTGTATTTTAAAATGCACCTCATCATCATAACACATTGCATTTACCCTCAGACTATGTCAGTCAGGGAACAGATCTGCCTCTTAACAGCTTTCACACCAGACACTTTTGTGCCAGGCTGTTTATACTTGTAAGATTATGTGCATAATGAAGCTGCATTGTCTTAGCAAAGTGCTGCTTTAATTCTCTGAAGCTGAACAAACTGTTCCTGGCACATCTGGGCAGGGGTGGAGAGGTATCAAAGTCACTTTATTGAGATGAAAGAACTGGCCCAAACGTCAAGACATTAGACATTAGTCATTCCTTCTTCTTGGTGACAGAAACATGCTCTCAATTTACGAGTCAGGTGCTTCCAGTGATTTCTGCCAGCCTTGTTCCTCCACATCATAAATTCCTCTTTATGCTCACTCATCCCACAGGCAGACCCCTATTCTTTGGCCTGCCTTGTCAGAAAATACACCCCATGTTGGTATATTGGCTGTCATCCAGGCTGCCATTAGCAGTTACTGTGTTGCATATACCATAGCGTACACTGTAAAAGAGCACTGAATTTAAATAGACAGCGGTGATTGCGCCCCTAGGTGCACATTAGTACTTTTTTTTTTTTACAGGTTTTCAATCGCCACTTTAATTCTTTCTATGGTGTTGACTCTGCAGAGCTCCCACTTACACTATGTTCATTTTCTCTAAATGCTTCATGTGGAGCCACTGGCTCTCAATTTATGTAATGAAGGTTTAATAGCCAATTGGAGCATCCAATATCATTAACAGCCAGTGTTAGTCTCATCCGGAATTTGCCTTTTTTTGATAACCAGAGGTGCAAACGTTTGATAGGTGGAATGTGTGATTAGCACCTGCTGTTTAGTGCATGTCCTGGCTCCTCAGGAGCAAGAAACCACATTTTACCATGTTTCACATTTTAACAGACTTTGCTAAATGATCTTGAGGAAACGGTTCTCAATCTTTCCCTGTTCTATTATTTTACCTGTTCTTTAACATCTATTTTTAATACTTTTGCCTTTTTCCCCACATCATCCATCACCTTTCATGTAAATGATGAGTTATTTTTGGATACAGCATTGGCACCGTCTCTGACACTTCTTAGTGCTGGTTGCCTGTCGTGTTGGTGATGCAGGAGTTGAAATTTATTGTATTAGATTTGTTGTAAGTGAGAACAATAAGAGCTACATGTTAAGTGTCTAAAATGACAGAAGACAGCAGAATCAGGGCACGGTAATAATGTTTGATTTTTTTGAGAGCAGTACAGAAAATGATCTCCCGTATCTCTGTCATCTTGTGTGTCTTCTGCAAGTTTTATTTATTTATTGCAAAATGTACTTGTATTTGATCTGATTGGTGCCCTCCATCAGTGTCATTGACTGTGCATCGTCCATGGCCTTAAAACTGGTAACACATAACACTGAATTAAAATAGAAGTGCTTTTTTCTCTCTCTTTTTTTTCCCCATAACGGTTGATGAAGATTATTTCTGACAGCTGCAATAACTTTGATGTATATAGATGGACGTTATTCAGTTGTTTAGCACATTCGATCCATGCATGGACATGGACAGGGCTCCAACAACAATATCTGAGAGTTATATTCAGTCACACAATCACACTGCAGAAAACACCACTCAAAATGCGTTTGCTTTTTCCATTACGCCCTCTAATGCATACTGACAGATTCTTCTTATTTGCATTGACATTTACGTGTTTGCAGTGATTACCAGAGACTGATTGGAAAAGATGGAAAGCATGATTGAGACGGAAATACACTATCAACATAAACAACTAAATTAGCAGAAGAAAACAATAAAATTGTTTTCTGGTCTTTGTGTGGAATCCGCAATATTTACATAAATACAATCAGCACATATTTATGGTTGGCTTGAGAATTTCCTTTTGATGTAAGCAGCTATGCATATAGTATGAGTATTGCAAGCCTATAAATGCTTCCCTAAATGCTCTCATAATGACCTTGGGGTAGGGCTGTTCACTGGAGCAGTACCAGTCTTGTGATAAGGATATGTTAGTTGTAATAATGTCTGTCAGGGTCTCAAGTCTGAAGTGTCTTGACTTCATTTTCATTCATATAATCTGACATTGTTCAAGACCTGACGGCGTGTCTCTCTCTCTCTCTCTTTTTTTTTTTTTTTCCTCTTCAGGATCTGGTCATATGATCACCCGGTGGGGAGGTAGGGGGTGTCACTGTGGTAGTTGTAGTCTGGACACACCTTCTGCACCAGCTTGTAGTCAGTGCTGTAGAAGGTGATGAAGATGCAAATGACTTTGAAGGGCTTGGAGCACAGCCAGGACACGTGGCTTTGGGTCTGCTCTTGTGGACAGCTCTGTGATGGGTCATGGGCACACAGTGAGTTCCTGGTGCCCTTCTCCACCTTCTCGTACTCCACCCTGCAGTTGAAGAGCTTGGTGTCCTTGGCCTCCAGGGCTGTCTGCTGCTGCTGGGGGTGGTGGTGGTGGTACTGCTGGTGGACCTGGAACTCCACAGCTTTGGTCGGAGGAACCAGTCCTACGGACACGTTACCCTGACCTGTTGAATTATGGCGGAAGTAGACGCTGAATGTGCCGTTGCCGTGATCCACGATCTTACCAGTAATGAGAAGGTTGAGCTTCACCGTCTTAATGTTGGAATGGAAGTCGCCCCAACCAAACATCTTCTTGAACTTGCCAGTCTTGACGATGGGCCTCCTCTTTGTCCGGGATCGAGGGTCGCGGGGGTTTGAAGCATTGTAAAGCCAGTTCCACTGCTCTTGTTTAGAGAAGGCGTCTGGCTCATCATAGTTCAGAGCCAGAGAGGTGAAGTTTTCTTTGCCATAGAGGGTCTGGGACAGCAGACGGCTGATGGAGAAGACCTTGCTGCTTTCGGTCCAATAGTTCTTCATTTTGGACTTTGAGCTCTCTCTTAAGTCTGAATTTCCTGAACTGGGTGAATCAGCATTGCTCACCTGGAAGAACAAACACAAAAATTAATTGTTTAGAATTTTCAGAGTAAAGGCATTCAGAACTCACACCGCTCTTTGATCAGAGAATGGTGCAACAATTTTTTCTGCCTGTGGATCTTGAACTGCACCAAAGCACAGACATTTAGTGGCCATATGTAAATTCTGTCTAAATATTTGAGCTTGGTGTAAGGATAAAATGTGCATCAAATGTGGGTCAGACTTACAGTATAACCACTAAGCTGCATTTATTTAAATAGGCTTAAGTTGACTTGTCACTTATGAGCTGTGTTTGGTGAAAACCGCTTGATATTTGTGGGAGGAATGATAAAAAAAAATTTATGCATTAAAATCCTCTATAAAAATAGAGGCTGTTGGTGCCTTTGCCCCTTACAAGTTACATACATTGCCAACGTTCAGTTCCTGTACCTGAACAAAACATCTTTATTTGGTGAGACAGAGAAAATGGGCGTAGACCTCAGGTTGTGGATGTGTGTATAAAATGTCTGGCTTTTATACAAGAGCTCTGAGATGCATGTTGTAGCGGTCCTGTTATTCTGTTAGATTTTTCAGGTTTATTTGCTGGATCCTGCTCCATGTTGTTGAAAATTCAGAATTTAAAAAACATTTTCATTGAACACCAGTCTGTGTTTTTGTAGAATAGTCCAGTGTCAGTGTTCTGTCTGTGAACGTTGTTTGGTAGACATGCTGAGTGCTAACTAACAGAAAAACCTCACACCAAAACCAGTCTCCTCAGCAGCAGTAAGTAAACAGCAGCAGTTGTGTTATCTGTCCACACACGTCAGCAAACTTGTTAATGCTCTAACTAAGTGTTGCAGAGTGTGAACTGTCTTGTGTGGGGCGTCCTAATCAAGATTAAGGGTATTCCTGCCATATGTCGAGGTGAAAGAAGCGCTTCTTGGGTGCAAATGTGATGCAACAGCAGACTATTACCTGCTGAATGTGCCCTGAATGGATGATTGATGATTCATTGTCTCTCCTCTAACAGTCACACCAATGAGGGAGCAAACACTCCCTGTACACCCCACAGAGATCCGTGACAGTGATGTCCAAACCCCAGTTGAGGAACGTGACAGTAGATCTATCTGGTTGAATCGTTTACATTGTGTACCTTCACCTCTTGATCAATACTCTGAAAATAAGGTCTTCTCTTCACAAAGTTCACTGAATGACATTGTAGTACTGTAGACCAGAGTGGAGCTCTGAGTGAACTGTTGCAGGAGTTGGGATCTTTCTCTGAAGCATGCATTCATTTTATGAACCTGGATTCAGAGTGGAGGAGTTTAAAAGATGGCCTCCAGTTGTTTTGAAGAGACCTTGATGATGAATGACCTGATGTGAACGAACCGTTAGTGGCACTGTGGAAACTTTGGCTTAGTAGCAGTTCCATCTTTCTCTCTGAGTAGAGGAGGATGAACTGAGCATTTTTAAATGCAATGTGATACATGGAGATTGAAGCCTTTCAAACCCTGTAAAAGTTGTAAAATAGCCAAATCTTTGTAAGGCACTTGGTTTCATAAGAGACCTTCAGAGCATAATGCTTGTAGTAACGAGGTGAAGAGATGTGAATTTTCAGAAGTAGTCTTGCACAGCAGGGCTGTTAAACTGTATTAATGAACCTCCTCCTTGTGTCTTTCATTGCTGGAATCAAAGGTCTGTCATGTAGCCGTGCTGGTGATGTATTGTGTAAAAGATAAAGTCAGTGAGAGGATGAGAGAGGTTTCTTGTTCAGGATTTATTGGCTCCATTATAATCCAACATGAAGCTCCTTAGGATGTAAAGGTTCAGACAAAATAATATCTTACAGACTGTCAGGAAAGCAGCTGTAAAGTTGATTGACAATTATAGCTCAGTCTTTATTTTTGCATTTAAGAATATCTGTTTATTTTCAAAGTGGAAATGGTGCAAATTAATGTGATTTTATAGGGTAACACAGCTGTGAACTTGGCGACCGTGGCGTAAACTCGGATTATGCATGTTGTGTATGTTGCAAGGTAAAAAATTGTTAAAGTTTTTAACTTATTCCCAACACTTGATTTCTTGCGAATCTCTAAAATACCTTTGACGGTTCATCTAAACTGTAAGGCCTATTTATTTTTTCATGACTTTTTTTTCTATTCTGTGGTCAAATGAAATATCATTTTCACAGAGCAGTGATTACTGATGCTTCTCTGGAACCGGGCTTCAGTCTCAGTGGAGGGATAGTTCTTAATAAGGCTCCAGCTTGGAGCTGGTTTATATGGTTGTCAGGCTAATAAGTAACAGGGAGGTGTAGATACACCATGTTTAAGGTGGAAATGTACAGAATAATTTACTAAACAATGCAAACCCAAGCATGTTTAGGAGTCAGATGGTCCAGGTTTTCCATTTTGTCAACCAAGAAATTAGATTGCCACCTATGCGCTATAATTTTCCGCAGCTTCCGGGTATGAATACTTTTGTTAGAAGAGGTGTCTCTGGAATCAAATTATTTTTCCTTAATTATTTTCATCCAAGATGAAAATTATGCAGCACATCTGAAGTGCACGCCCAACCATCCTCAGTCCAAATTCCCTGTTGTGGCGCCTTGCTCTGTTGTCGCCAGTGTTGCGTATGGTCGTCAACTGTGACATGCAATTAGCTTTCATCTGAAGCACCTGACGGCCCAGGCTCTGGATTAGAGCACTTGGAGACACCCCACTTCATGGATTAGAGCCCAACCTGTAATCCATCCCAAGGAGATTAGGCAGATCAGAGGCAGTCCTGACTAAAGCAACGTTTATATCCAGAACACTTCGACTGACTGCGCCAACACTCGGAGGGCCAAGATTTACTTCTCACCAGCCTCACAAACATGCAGGCGAGGCATAAAGACAGAGTGTGAGTGTTGGATGTATGAATATGTCTGAAGGAGATGCTGCAGAGAGAAAAGAATGAGAGAGCTGCTGGATAAAGGACAGAGGGAAAAACAAACATGGCAGCGTAAAGGTCAACAGTCACACTTTGATAACTTTGGATTTAACGGACATTGATTTGTCTGTAATTGGTTTTATTAAATATCCGATGTGGGACAAACAATCATCCACAACTAAAGGTGAAAATGATTTTGCACTTAATTGGCTGCATTTAATTATATTTTTTATGTATTTTTATTTCAGTAGTTGTTAAAGCTCCCAGTGCTCTTTGCTTCCCTAAAATTAAGTTGAAAGTGCTTGTAACAGTTTGTGTATGTCTATAAATTGTGAGCCATTCAACCAAAGATTGAATTTCCCATCTGGTTGGTTTGAATTTTAATCATTTTTAGTGACAAGAAAAAAGTCAAACGATCCAGTACCTCACAAGAGAAAAGCAATGATTACACAAAAATGAAGAATTCTTTTGTCTCTCCTATTCCAGTAATCATCATATGACCCCACTCAGATGTATTTTGTGAACCGCTGGAAGAACCGAGAGCCTCAGGTGGGAAACCTCAGCCATAAAGGTCCATCCAACTGGTTTGGCATGTTTTAATTTATTTACTACAAAGTATTAAGACTCGAAAATGTTGCCTGTGCGGTAAAACTTAGACAAACTCTGTGCACAGTGTAAAGATAGTCCCCAGTAAACTTCAATTAACAGAGCGGTGTTTTGATCTACCTGAGATCTGCCTGCCAAGTGAATAACACGGAGCAGAACAAGGACTCGAAGCAGCTGTGATGATTCACTGAGCAACAGAACATTTAGTATCTTTGGTTTTTGGAGCGTGGGTCAGAATAAACAAGCAATTTGAACTTGAACTTTATGAGCATTTGTCTGATCTTTGATATTTTGTAGTTGGTGTTAATCAAGAAAATCTGCAGGTTAAACAGTGAGAACAGACAAACGTACAGTAGCCATCAGTCATGTGCCTGGTAACTGCACAAGTAAGAGACAGATTAGTTCCTGAGTGAATCAGTCAGAGCTTTGTAACACTGTCAGACACTCCCCATGGGGCCACAGTATGGCAAGATTTAGAATTAAAGGATATAACAAAAATAAATCGGTAGAATACAATCCATGAATCACACATTATCCAAAAAGGAAATAGTTATAAATTCTTCTTGCTCAAAAAAGTGTTTCAGTAGTAAAAACAAATACAATCTAGTGGTGGAACATAATCATCATGAATGCAAATGTCAGAATTAAAGAAAAGAAGAAGATGCATCACGTTCACCGCTGACTGAGGCACAAATTATTCAAAAAGGGAACCGTTAACTTTCATAGCGTAACAGTTTATCTACGATGTCACCATGCGGCAGGTTTTCTTTTAGCGTCTACAAAACCCATGAAGCGAGTAAAGCCATCAGTTCCTTGATCCTCCTAAGTGTCTGTGCAGCCAGAGACAGAGCAGATTCCTCTGTGCCGCTGAGCTCCACCGTCTCACACACGCTCCTTTGTCACCATGAAGACACACACTGTAGTTGATCTTGAATCAGTCCCACATATTGTACATTGTATTGCTGCTGGAAACACTCACACTCGCCAATGGCACATTAATCCACATCTGAAAATAGTCTCCAACAGCTGTACTATTCTCATTACTCCTGTTTGAATCCACATGTGATATTCTGTTGCTTGGTCTCAGCAGTTTTTAGATTAAATGCGCGGGATTTCCTAAAGCAGTGTCTCACTCTGATCAGTTCCTGCATGAATCGGATATTTTCTGCCACATTTTTTGTTGTGTCGCAAGAGTTTCTGTATTCTTAGTTCTGCTCCTCTCACTGCTTTGACCTTGACAGGGCGCATTTTACAAATGTGATGTCCAACATGTTTGTGCATGAATCGGGGTTTAGCAGAAGATGTCGCTGGGATGTGTGTTTATGTTGTTCAGATCAAAATTCAATCTACTGTACTTTACTTTCTTTCATATTCCACTGGTGCAGTCTGTAACACAGGCTCAGAATTGCTGGCGTGTCTTGTTTATACAAAACTACTTGTCACACTGACTTAGTCACTTCAGTTAGAGCATTAGTATAAAAAATTCTTCTGATGTAAATTAAATTTTTTCCTTCCAAGATATTCAAACACATCTCCCATATTTATATTTAGAGGCCTTCATTTCATGGCTCAGAGTTTCTCCAGCTTTTCTA